CGTCGGTGGCCACTGCTTAGCATTTAATTCCCACGTGACTGCACAACAGGAAGCAGGCTGGCACCTCCCAGGCAGGGATTCCAGGTGGGGTGAGCGGATGCCACCTGGCCCCCTGACGAGGTGCTCAGACACCGGTGGGCTTATGCTGAGCTGCGGAGGACCTTCCCAGCCCACCCTGACATGATCCTGGGGGACGCAAGGCCAGGGCCCAGGGCCCTCTTCTTCAGGTCAGCCTGGACAGGCGGGAAGCCGCCCTCACCTCGATCCCACCCAGAGGGGCACCGATCCTGCCCTGGGGAACATCAGACACTGCCCCTCCCTGCCGGTCTGTCTCTTCTGTTCCATATCCACGTTTAGGAAGCCCTTTCGACGACTTCAGCAAGCCCGTTTATAGGTGACAAGTCAGATGGGCTTTTCCTGGTTTTTCTCAAAGACGCTGGCCCCAGATTGCCCAGGCCCAAATTCCAGTAAGATTTGTGTGTGTTTGGCAGTGATCACCTGTAATGCCATTTCTGGAATATTTTGCTAATCTATTCTAAATTAAAAGAGGAACACGCCTCCATAATAGCAGTGTTTCCGTTCCAGGTTTTTCTCTTGTATTTTCCGTGTAGAGCTGACCCACGGATTAGGAGTGAGTCCCTGGCAAAGAGAGATACCTAGCGGAGGCCATTTTAGGTTCAAGTGCTGACCTAATGGTCGTCCCCGAGGCAAAGTCACTGGTTCTGTCACTCGCTGTTCACTGTCCTGTGCGGCCCACCCCTGCCCCTGGACAAGGTGGGGCCTGGTGGGACCCACCAGCTTTGGGCACAGGCAGCCCGGGCCGTGAGCTACAACCTTATCAGGCCCATGCCCCAGCTCCCGTCCCCTTTGTCCTGCACGGACTGAGACAAACACAAACTCCTCTCCGAAGCCAAGTTCATTCCACGCAGGGTCGTTTGTGGGAGATGCAAAGTGCCTCTGCCTGCAACCAGAGGATGTGCGTCCACGTCAACACTATGTCATAGCCACCAGCATGGTGGGGCATCACTAGCTGCACCTGTAAATCATCGTTCACATAGTTGTGAAAGGCCCTCCCTCGAGGGTCCCCCCTCAGAGAAATCAGCATCCTGTAGATGCTGTGCCTTCAGCGAGTGGAGGCGGACCTCCTGTGCTCCCTGGGCTATGAGCCCAGTTCTCTCTCTTTTTAAAGGTCAAGGGGATCTTTACAGTTAAAAATAGTGATGTGTAATTGCAGCGTTGAAGAAAAAAGACTTTGTTGTCAATTAGAATTCATCTCGAACATGGCTCATTTCTGGGCAAAGATGAAGCCTAACTGAAAAGCAAAGATAAAAACATGTGCCTCTTTCGTGATAAATTGTCATCTTAATCATATCCTGTAATGTTTCCCTTCCTGTTTCCATAAAATAGTAGGTATTTTTAAGTTCCATGGCAGATGTTTTAAGTTGTGGTAAGATAAACGTAACACACTTTAGTATCATAACCATTTGTAAGAGTTTCGTAGTGTTGAGTGTTCGCAGTGCTGTACAACCGTCCCCACTGTCCATCTCCCAAACCCACTTCATCTTGCGGAACTGAAACTCTGTCGCCATGAAACACTAACTCCCCACCCCCTCCCCCTAGCCCCCGAGAACCAGCCTTTTCTACCTTCTGTCTCTGTGACTTTGCCTCCTCTAGGGACCTCATATACGTGGAATCGTACGGTCTCTGTCTTCCTGGCTGGCTGATCGCACTCAGCCTAATGTCCTCAAGGTCCACTCATGTGGGACATGTGTCAGAACGTCCGTCATTTCCCAGACGTTTCTAAAGTTATCACATGTTAATCCTCAAAGCCTTGCTTTGGTTTCTGTCCAGTTCACTTCCTGGTCTCTTGGGAGCCAGTGGAACAGGATTTAATTACAGCAAAAAGAGAAATGGGGGAGGCTGGGGACCCCGAGAGCTGACAGCCTGGAAGAAGGGCTTCGGGGTGCTGGCCTGCGTCCGCCCTAGAGACTGTCCCCCCGCCCGCCCACCAGGGAGCTAGAAGAGCAAGGCCAGCTCTCCATTGTGGGACATTTAGGTGTCAGATGCTGGCATGACGAGGGCATAGACCAGGGACCAAGGCAGGGGCCCGGTGGGCATAGCTCCTATAACAAGGTGAAGGCTGCTGAACCCCAAGGCTCCTCGGTACCAAGGCCCCTCAAGGCGTCACAGGCTTTGCCCAGAAGTCAGGTTGGTCCTGAGAGCCAGGTGGGGTTCAGGGAGCCATGTGAGGAGAAGGAGCAGGCCTCTGGCCACACGGGCTGCGGGCCCAGAAATATCCCTCGGAGGCTCTGAGGGTCCACGGGCCAGGGCAGTCCTGGCCCTCTCGGCCCTGTTCATCATACAGGACGGTCTGGGGTTTCCCAAACCTTCCCCGTGGGCTTATGCTCTCAAACCTGCAGTCTCAGTGTGTGCCCGGGCACCGTGGACCTGAACTCCCCCTGACCTTGCAGAAGCTGCTGGTGAGGGAGCTGCAATCTGAAAGCCCCATCTGAGACAGCAGGCAACTCCTGCATAGACGCTGCCCCCCAGCAGCCCTGGGCACCCCTGGGCGTCCCCTGAGGCTTACATGCCCCCAGCATGCCAGGTCTCATATAGCATCTGTTTTCTCCCCCTGTCTTTCAGCATCCTCCTGGACGAAGAGGGACATATTAAAATCACAGGTTTGTAAAAGGCACTGGTCTCCCTCAGTGCCAACATCTGAGCCCTGGTAAAAACCTGGGGCCCTGCTACGGCACCAGCGTGTACGGACACATGCCTCTGATTTGGCTGAATGTTCTGTAGCTGGGGATGAGTTGTGGGGCTGTGTGTCCTCGCAGCATTGAGGAATGCCCAAATGTCCCAGGTTGTCCCTCCTTTCCTTCCCTCCTTCTAGCCTAAGACCCTTCTAGCACCTTCCCTGCGGACGCTGGACATCACTGGATGTTTGTCCCAGGAGTCTCGGTGCACTGCGCTGATCTTAGAGACAAATACCCATGAACTCACTGTAGCGTGTCTCAGCCCTGCGTCCCCTTCCCACCCTCATCATTTCCGAGGGATTCATCTCCCTACTGAAACCTCAAGCCCTTCCCATCAATGCCAAGTTCAGTCACTCTGAAGAAACTCCCTCTAGTTCCATGACACCCATCTGTGTTAGTTTCCTCTTGCTTCTGTCACAAATTACCACCAACTTGGTGGCTTAAAACAACACAAATGTATCATCTTACAGTTCTGGAGGCCAGAAGTCCAAAATGCGTCTCACAGGGCTGCAATCAGGCGTGGGCCGGCCGCTCCTTCCTGGAGCCCCCAGAGGAGCGCCGTTCCCTTGTCCTCCAGCCTCTAGGGGCCACCACACCCCTTGGCTCGAGGTCTGTGCTCCATCTTCAGAGCCAGCCGCACAGCATCTCCCGTCTCTGGGACTCCGGCCTCTGCCCCCCCTCCTCATAAGAGTCCTTTGCTTCATGGGCCCAGCTGGTGACCCAAGGTCACCTCCCATGTCACGATCCTTGATGTAACCACGCCTGCAGGGTCCCTTTGTGCACGGTGACTTGTGGAGGTGGCCTCACCTCCACACACACCCGCTCCTGCGTGTCCCTGAACTAACGCTGTCTCCTCACCTCCATTGGACGCACATCCCTGCTCGGGCAGCGGTCAGGCCCCGTTCTTTCTTCAGAGCTCACCTCACTGCTCCTTCTCCCCACACGGTCTCCCTGCCACTCAGTTCCTTGTCTGCTCTGGCCACCAGCTGCTTCTCCAGGGCAGGTTTCCCCTGCTCTTTGCGGGTCCCTAGGACCTAGCAGAATAGCTGACAATACGTGCCCAGTAAATATTTTTAAATGCTTGTTAACGTTGGGAAGTTAGACCTTTATGATTTCTCATGAATTATACACAAGGTCGTGACTATCCCTTTAACAGAACCTTCAGGCCACATGCTGCTGGCAGGCCAATGACAGGTTCTAGGGTGCCTGCAGCGTCAGGTGACCCGTGTGCTGCCTCTCGGCAGCAGGCGGGAGCTGCCCCCTGGGCTCACTCTAGTTTGATCTGTTCTTGGTGCCTTTTGTGCCTCCCAGCCAGTGTGACAGCAGAAGGAACCCACCCCTAACAGGCTGGGAATGTCAAGTCAGCTTCCACAGCTGGTTAAGGTGGCTCACGGTGGCATTTCGTAGGAATCTAAGATTCTGCTCATATTTTATGCGTTTCCTCTGCTGAGTGAAAGCTGCCTGTGTGATATATAAATCACGTGTAGAGCAGTAGTTGGAGTAAGTAGAGACGCCACCTGAAGTTTATCTGCAGTGTTAGAGTTTTGGCTTTTTCTGATTTAATAATCAGGGTCTGTATCGTTTATTTGGGACCCAGGTTAATAATATGTAATAATTTGTCATGTTAGCCAGGCACAAATTACCAACAAACCCCAAAAGTCTAATGTGCAGAGCAAGTCACTTAAGCAGTGAGTGAGCAGCCCACTCGTGGGTGTGTGACACTCTCACTTAGCACGTGGCCTCACTCCACCCTCGCGTGGCCCTGGAAGGAGCTGATGTCATCCTTATTTTCATAGATGGTCAACTGAGTGGTGCTGTAATTGTAGAACCCACTTGCTTCTGTGTCCTCCATCTGCTAAGTGCATGAGCACATGGGCGTCAGACAGAGGGAGAAAGAAGTTACCCAGATTCCACAGGGAGCTGGCGGGTAGGGCGCTCACTGCGTACCCCAGGCAGGTGCCCCGAGTCCCGCGCACACTTGTGCGTCTTCCCTTCGAGCCTCGCCGACCAGAGGCGTCCTTCCCAAGTCGCCCTCCTCTCTGGTACTTTCCTTCCTGTCTCGTCCTGACCTGCGGCTCCAGCGCTCTGAGGTCCACCCACGTGGGCCTGCTAGAAAGCGGCCTCCGGGGGGATTCATGTTGGCCACTAAGAAGTGCAGTTTCTCCACGTCCTCACAAGGCCCCTCATTTTGTAGGTCCCTACAGCGCATTGACTTGGGGAGTTGCCAGGCTCTGCACAGCACTTGTGGGCATGACGCTTGGGGGGGTTGGGGGGTCCGTGGGGCTGACAGAGCGGATTGGGAAGTGATGCCCAGTCAGGCAGAGTTCACAGATGTGACACAAGCCCACCGTTAGGACTTGGCATGGGAACGGCCCTGAAGGCCTCGCGGAGACTGAGAAGTGCTGTGTGCTGTTTGCCTTTAGACTTCGGGCTGAGTAAGGAGGCCATCGACCACGACAAGAGAGCCTACTCCTTCTGTGGGACAATCGAGTACATGGCGCCCGAGGTGGTGAACCGGAGAGGACACACGCAGAGTGCCGACTGGTGGTCTTTCGGCGTGCTCATGGTAACGGCTGGCCCCCCTCGGTCCCGCCAGGGCCCGTGGTACCCGTCTCTCCCGCCCCCAGCCCAGGCTGGTTCAGAGAGCCGGGAGCGACCCGGGGAAAACAGTGCTTGAAATGTATACATGCCCGTTATGTGACTCAGGACACGGAGGCGGCCACCCGGTCCTGACCCTGCATTCTCTGGCACCCCAAATCCCCCATCAGGAAACAGAGCTGGGGTTCAAATAAGGACACAAATGCAGTAAGAGCCAAACCTTCCTTATACGTACTGTTCTTACAGGGTTAACGTGAAGATTTTAAGAGGTGCAGCAGTTTCCATATTAAACACATTTTTCTTACTTCAAACACAAAATCTTTCCACTTAGTCATAAAAATTAACATGAGCCCTAATACACATGGAGGTAAACATTTTTATATCACACCCAGAAACTTGGATTTTCCTTCGATCATGGGTTCACCGATAGAGCATGAAACAGGTACCGTCCAGACCAGGCATCCTATTGTCATAACAGGAATGGTGTTGGCTCCATGTCCCCAACCACCCTCCCTCCCTCGTACGCGCTCACTCTGCCCATCCTCCCGGCCGGACGCTGTGCCCTCAGCGGAGACCAGACCTGGGACACCGTGGAATCTGCCGTTGGATGAGCGTGGCATGGTGGCATTTCAGGGCTGTCCAACCCCCTGTCCTGTGCAGGCAACACAGAGGAAACAGGCTGCAGGAGCTTGACTAGGCTCGCCGCGGGTCGCTCAGCTGGCACGAGGCACAGCTGTGAGCATCCGCACCCCGGCTTCCCTCAGCAACCACCGCACACACCTCGTCCCCTCGCCACGGAACCGCTGGGCTGCACCTCCCACGGTTCCCAGGTGTCGGCTGGGGAGCCCTAGGTCGGCACCCAGGAGGCCTCGAGGGGCACGGTCACTTGGTCTCTAGGTCTGGTCCTCGGGCCCATGGGCTCAGAAAGGCTGGCTGCGTCTGATTGTCAGAACACAGACCGCTGACCTCTCTCCACGGGGCAGACCAACGCGAAACCGTCTCGGTGGCTTCCACGCCTTAAACCCGAAGACCAATTGACAGGGAGGGAGGTCCACACCAGGTGGGGGGGAGTGCTCCTGTCCCCAGGGCCAGCACCTCCTCTGTCCTGTCAGCCACCTGCCAGGGAACTCGAATTATAATTAGAAGGCCGCTCCCTAAAACGGAATCACAGCACGTGGGACAGGTTGTTACAGGCGAAGTGATCGAGACAAACCTGCACCGTAAGAAGGGCTCCGTAGACGTTAGCTAAGAGGGCGGCACTGGGTGACTGTGTTCATGATTCTCCAGACTTTTGGTGGCATCAGCTAGGATGCAGTCTGTCCCCACGCTGGAGACCCCACTGCTCTGCATCCTTCTCGCTGGCCTGGGCCTCCTGTGTCCCCAGCCTGGAGGGTGTTTGGCGGGGGGATGGCCGGCCTCACCACCCCGCTGCAGAGCTCACTGGGAAGTTTGAGTTTTCCTTCCCGACACTGGGTTATAGGTGGGAGGTTACAGGTCTGCCGCTTCAGGAGCAAGTCCAGTTCCTAAGCCCCGCCCTCCTGAGCAGCGCACCCCTCTAATGAAGGCGGGTACCCTTAGGGGACCCCACGCTTCATCTCTGTGTCAGTTCTGTCCTTCCTCCCTGGGGACTGCCAGCTGTTATCACTTCCTCTAAAATCAAACCCAAAGCCCTTGAAGATGACAGGCAGTGACTAAATTGGGCTTGCGGATGAGCGCACAGCGGCCCTCCAGATAACGCTCCCCTAATGAGCTGAAGTCACGACTTCTGACCACATGTGTCTCGGTGTAACTGATGTCTCAACAGGAGGCCAGCCTGAGACTGGAGAGAAGGGACAACTGAGCGGTGATCACAGCCAGGGACCAGCCACACAGACGTCAAAGCCAACTCAATTTATGGGGAGGTTCCTGGGGGGTGGGGAGGGGAATGTGTTGTTCCCCTGATCTGTTCCTATATATTAACACAGTGGACCATAAAGTAAATCCCATAATACAAAATAGACCTTAAAAGTGTGCCCTGGTCAAAATCATTGCAAATGAAAGAAATAAATGGAGAAGTGGAAAGAAAAGATATGAAGAGCAAAGATATATAACAAGAAAGACTGAAAGAAAAAACACCTATGCGCACCCACCGGAGGAAGAAAGGACAAATCCAAAGACAGAAATGAGGAGGATCAAGGAGGAAAAGAGGAAACATGACTTGTTTGAGCTCATCTCCCTTCACTAAGCTGCGCCCAGACACCCCCAGTCTCCCCCCGAGGGCAGCACAGGCACTCCGGAAGCTTCCTGACTCTCCCTGCAGAGCTGGTGGCACTGTCTTTTGTGCCCTCTTGGCACCCTGACCCGATGCTGTTGGAACATCTGTCCTCTTACGTTGTGAATATCCATTTCTTNCTTCGGGGACGCACGCTCCTGAGGTGTTTAATTTCTGTGGAGAAATGGTCTGTCATTGGTACTTGGGGCTCCACTGAGATGTGCCCTCGGACTGGACAGGGAGAGAAATCCAGTTGCCCTCTGAGCACTAAACTGCAGACACGACCGTGGTGTTTATATATAAGGTCAGATGAAGGGGAAGTTGGTGACCAGCAGGACTTGACTATAAGTAAACCCATGAATCTGCGAACAATTTAGAAAATAAACACCCAGGCAGGGAAGGCACTGGTTGAACATGGGAGATAGAACAGGGGATTCCAGAGGCTGGAGCAGAGGCAGCACCTAACTGTCACCACCAGGACTTGGGGAAGCGTCCCTTTCGGAACATGGATGTGCTCTGTCGGTATTCGCCTGACGTATCCACCATCCAGTCCCCTGGCTGCCCCTATTCCTATGCCCATGCTTACCAGATCACCTTGTATTGATTTTTCATACGTCTCCCTTCAGAGAGAGCATCAGGGACTCCTAATCTCTGTGACATTGATCTCATGGTGAACATGAAAAATGGTTTCTGATAACGATCTGGCTTCCTAGCAAGGGGACTACGAAAGCACGTGCTGCTTCTAACAACCACCGGGGACAGGGAAATGTTACGATGAGGCCATGACCTTGAAGTCGTGTGTGATTTAGCTCGCCTGAATCAGGGTGCCCCCACTCATGGACCCTCACACCCTGAGCTGGCCTTACCAGGCCTGAGGCATCCTGCTGACTCTACATGATATATGTGTTGTCTTTGGTAGAACTCAGGTCGCTTTGGGTAGACAGCGGGTCACTGGTTTGCATGCTACCCAAGGTGAAGATGTGAAATCAAAGGGAGAAGGAGTGAGACTTATTTTCAGTAGCTCATCAGGCTTCCGTAGTGTGGTTTAGTTTTGTATTAAAATCTTGCGAATTCTTATCAGAAGTGCTCATACCAAAATATAAACCCAGAAATGCACTCCAGAGCTGCATGGTTTGTGGGGGCTTGGAGGCCCAGGAGGAGACTAAAATCCAAGTGCTCCCCTTACAAGGCCAACGAAGCCGTCTTTGTAGGAAGCGCTCCTCTGCCTTTCCTGATCTTAAAGCTATAAATAGAACTCATGTTTCCATTGTAGGAGCCAGAGCACGTTACTGGGGGGCCGTGATATTGTCCAGAACACAGCTGGCCCAAGTGTGTACTTTGTGGGGCTGAGTCCTGGTCTCTCGGGCAGAGTTCTTCAAAGCAAGCCAGCCACCCAAATACGCTGAGTGGTCTTGTGCTCTCCTTGTCACTAGGTCATGTTCACGGAGGAGGACGTCAAGTTTTACTTGGCCGAGCTGGCCTTGGCTTTAGACCACCTCCACAGCCTGGGCATCATCTACAGAGACCTGAAGCCTGAGAAGTAAGTGGGCCAAGCGGGGTGCAGTCCCCCACACCCCCTTTCTTGCCGGCGCGCGTCGGTGGCCACTGCTTAGCATTTAATTCCCACGTGACTGCACAACAGGAAGCAGGCTGGCACCTCCCAGGCAGGGATTCCAGGTGGGGTGAGCGGATGCCACCTGGCCCCCTGACGAGGTGCTCAGACACCGGTGGGCTTATGCTGAGCTGCGGAGGACCTTCCCAGCCCACCCTGACATGATCCTGGGGGACGCAAGGCCAGGGCCCAGGTCCCTCTTCTTCAGGTCAGCCTGGACAGGCGGGAAGCCGCCCTCACCTCGATCCCACCCAGAGGGGCACCGATCCTGCCCTGGGGAACATCAGACACTGCCCCTCCCTGCCGGTCTGTCTCTTCTGTTCCATATCCACGTTTAGGAAGCCCTTTCGACGACTTCAGCAAGCCCGTTTATAGGTGACAAGTCAGATGGGCTTTTCCTGGTTTTTCTCAAAGACGCTGGCCCCAGATTGCCCAGGCCCAAATTCCAGTAAGATTTGTGTGTGTTTGGCAGTGATCACCTGTAATGCCATTTCTGGAATATTTTGCTAATCTATTCTAAATTAAAAGAGGAACACGCCTCCATAATAGCAGTGTTTCCGTTCCAGGTTTTTCTCTTGTATTTTCCGTGTAGAGCTGACCCACGGATTAGGAGTGAGTCCCTGGCAAAGAGAGATACCTAGCGGAGGCCATTTTAGGTTCAAGTGCTGACCTAATGNCTGCAGATCTTTGTGCAAAACTAAGCACCTGTTTGAAACGTGTTATCACTGGATCTCAGCCTTGCAGACAGATGTGTAAACTTAGCTTTCATGGTATGAATGAAATGACTCTTCAGGCCTATCCGAGTCAAGTAGATCTGGTCGGCTCCCTTTAAATGTTATCTTTTTGCGATATTAATGAGTTAATAGTAACGTGTTTAGATATGGTAACTGTCTTCTTAGTCTGCTCAGGCTGCCACAACAAAATAGCACAGCCCAGGTAGCTTACACACAGGCACTGATGTTGGCGTCTGGTGAGGGCTGTCTTCCCGGCTGGCAGGCGGCTGCCTTCTCCTGTGTCCTCACACAGCCTGGCTCTGTGCTCAAGGAGAGAGGGGTCCCTGGTGTCTCTTCATCCTCTGATAAGGGACACCAGTCCCATTGGACCAGGGCCCACCCTCATGACCTCAGTTAACCTTAGTTACATTCCTAAATGCCCTTTTTCCAAATATAGTCACATTGGGGGTTAGGTCTCCAACATATGAATTTTGGGGATGCAATTCAGTCCATAACAGTGATGGTGTGGTAGTGACTTAAAAACTCACAAACAAAACAACGAACCCCTCCTGGAAATATAGGTGGGACGGCTTCAGTCTGTTGGTGGTTATTGGGGCTGCTCGGTGTGCTTATGCGGGGTCATTGCTCCTTTGGAATCTGAAATTGTGGTTTTTGGAAGATAATCATGAAACAAATGGATGGTCAAATACAAATACCGAGCGGGTAATGCTGGGCCCGAGAGGCCACTTGCTCCTTTGGTGTCGGGTGTCGGAGAAGCCCGTTTCCCACCACGGTGAGCTCACCAGGTGAGAGCTGTGAGGGCGTGGAGCCCCCGTGGCCCCCCGGGGACCCTGCTGGGTGGGCAGCTCCTGACTGGTGGCATTGGCTCCTAGAACAGGGAGGAAGCTGACTCCGGGCACCCTAGGGAGTCCTGACAGAAATTGTCACTGAGTTCTTTTGGGCCCTCCTGCTGTCCCCAGATGAAGCCAAGACTGTCATCAGGGACAAACTTGAGTGATGGTGGGCATCAGAGTTCTGTGTAACCACTGCTGCCATATTTAATCAGGCTGCCAAGGAGGAGGGGAGCCATGGTCTGCCCTCTCTCATTTTCCTTGTAATGCCTGTGTTCCCCCTCTTGCTACAGCTGGTTTTCTCTTTCTGACCTGACCAGCTCTTGGGCACATCCCTGCGGCCAGCCCAGGCGGCTGTCCCGTGCTGGTCATGGAGTCTCATAGCGTCACATGCACCTGGGACAAGGCTCCCGCTGTGCATGTGTGCGTGCTCACGCCCCTGAGTTCCTTCATGCTGACTATTTAGGCTGTCACCATTGTTTTTGCTGTTACAAGTATTGCCGAAACANGGCCCAGGGCGTTTCCTAAGCACCAGGCGACCCTCCCCATGCCCCCAGCGCCACCGGAAGCGAGGAGTTGATGCAGAGGCCGGCTCCTTGCTTCTTCTCAAGGAAGCCTGGCCCCAGCTGCAGCCTGGCCTCTCGGACACACCAGGAATGGCCCGGACGTTTCTCACTGGACACAGCGTATTTCTAACTGAATTGCTCACCTGTTTGTCGGAGTCGTCCAGTTGTTTTGGTGAAAAGGGCTCCACACTCCATGTGTCCTAGCAGCTAGAGAAGTGGACCACACGGTCCCAGAACCGTGGTTCTGCTCACCAGCGTGACGCGGGGAAGGGGCTGTCACACTGATGATAAGTTAAGTCTGCTCGGCACTCAGTTTACGAAGCGTCCTCATGTTTGATCTGAACCAAGAAATCTTTAAATTATGCAGAAAAGATATTGTAGCATACTTTCTGTGTATGGAAGTGGACACTAAAGTTCAAAGGCCAGAAGAGGTGGGATAAGACCCCTTCCTTGTTCTAGAATCTACGCTCACCTCTGTGGGAAGGGCCTTCACACTTCAGGGTCCGCTGCCCACCCCTTCCTTGAACTTGCTCGCTGGGGAACGCCCACCCATGTCCTCTGATAACCCACAAGTCCCTCCACACAGCTCGAAGGGAGACACTCGTGTTCACGGTACTGATCCCGGTGCTGGACAAAATGGGACGTCTGAGGCGAGGCACTTGTGACCGGAAAGGAGTGTGAACAAATGCTGATGGGCTCCATGGCGACAGTACCACCAGCACATCCCCCCCTGGCCTGGACGTCGGTGTCGAGGACGACGTTGGGGTTGCATTTTGTGCATGTTCTGCACACGCCTGAACGCTCTGGGTTTGTGCGTGAGCTCACCTTCCACTCTCCCCACGTTTCTTCACCGTGGTCCTGAAAAATGCGAGTGCGATCACACACGGGTGCTGTGTGAAGGCTTCTCATGCTGCTGCAGCAAAACAGGCTGGTTGCAGGCTCGGCCTCCAAGAAGGGCAGGAAGAACTGTGCCTTCCTGGTAATGGGCTGAAAAAAAATAATAATAGCTTCCTCACCAGCACCACCGTCTTCACCACCAAGAAGCATTTACTGAATGCCCATGCACACCATTGCGCTGGATGGTCTGTGGGTTGGTACATGGTTAGGGACCTCCCATGGCGTAGCTGGTTGCACGGGAGAGAGCGGTGTCAGGGAAGAAGGGGATGGAAGGAGAGAAACACAAAAGTGTGGACCCTGACTATTAGGGAGTCATAGTCAAAGCTGAAAGGAACCACTCAGCAAATACATGCAACATATCAATAGACGCATAATCAATAGTTAGATGATAGACAGACATCAGAATGGCACCGCCTGCGTAGCAAAGATGAAATGGCGAGAGTCAAGTAATAGCTTTCTGATTTCACGTGGCCAGAAAGGCTTTTCACTGACATGGAATTTCATTAGTACTAGACTTGGGAAAGAAAGGAAGAACCAAATTAGGAAGAGAATTTTCTCTGCTAATATGATTCTTTTTTAAGAAAAGTGTTAATTTGTATGATCAATTTATAAAATGTGCCCTATTTTATCAGATGAATAGCTCATCTGCCAACCAGAGCTTTCTAGCCTTTCAATTTGATCGTGTTGGTCTATTTTTAGATTCCCCTTGGACTCTCTCTCTCTCTCATTTTTTATTGTATATTGATCGTTTCTGCAGCCTGTCTGCTCTGTGGGCCTTCACTCAATGGGTGCACACAGCAGGGACAACAAACGTTACTGTGAGAGAGCTTCAAACACCCGAACACACAGGGGTGTTTTAATTTCTTTTAAAATTTGCTCTCAGAGAGTAGACCAGTGACATTAGTAAAGCCTTAAATGTGTTTATGTCTTTAGCCTTAGAATTCCCCTCCTAATGGACTATCAGAAGGGTGACTCTTACTCTTAGGAAAGCTTTTTTTTACGTGCATTTCAGGCAGCTCCCCGTCCCATCCGGATACGTGATCATGGCCAGTCCAGCTTAGCTGTCCTCTGCCACCTCCTCCCCAGCACCCTGAGAGGGACGAGACCCTCAGCCAACCCCAGAGAAGATGCGTGGCCGACCTGCCCCCTTCCCCCACCCCCATCACTGCTCTCGTTCTCCGTTGCACTCAGCACCTCCTCACCCACCACAGAGTTGGTTTATTTGCGGTTTATCGCTTGTCCACCTCTCCCCCGGACTGTGGCCTCCACGAGGCAGTTGTGTTCCCTGATGCTCACCGTGCAGGTGGCAGGGCCTGCACCCCACTGACAGAGAAGTGAGGGGGTTGCATTGCCTTCCTGGGGCTGTGTGTGGCTGTGTCCTGCCCATCTGAACACTCTCTCCCCATCCTGTGTTCCTTTGCAGTTTGAGATGCTCACGGGATCACTGCCGTTCCAGGGGAAAGACAGGAAGGAGACCATGGCCCTCATCCTCAAGTGAGTGGGAACCCCACCCCGGGAACCCACCCATAGCTGTGAGCACCTTCTGATGTCCAGAGCTTCAGTCTTCGAAGCCCAGGTGGTGAAGCAGCTACTGGCACTAGTGATGGTTCCCGTGGGTGGAGTGAATGGCCAGCCGTGAACGGGGCGCTGAGTGATTCTGACCTCTTCTGCCATAGATAAATTTTCCATCAGTAAGAACCCGCTAAGTTGTCCGATGTCCAGGTTTTTAGACGGGATGAGCGGTGACCGTCAGGGGTGAAGGACAGATTCAGAGGGTAGAAGACGTGGGGCTCCAGAGAGAACTCAGGCTGGGGGCTTCCTTTCCTTCTCTGCCCGTCGACCCCATTCGTGCAAACACCTGCGCTCTCCTGCCGGACCTTGGCAGGAGCCGGGTTGCCCGTGTGACGGATTACAAAATAGTTCTCTCCTTAATACTCCTGAGGAACCGTTTACCAGGGAAGTGGATTTGGCTCCGAGAACCCCAGAAAGAGGTTTAACCCCAGAAAGAAGTCTGCTGTGACGTCTTCAGGGTGGCCAGGCTCGGTCTGAGCAGGATATCAGAGGGAGAGCTCCGGGAGGAGGGTGCACGGGAGTGGGGAGGTGGCCAGGAAACAGGTACCAGGGGACCCCAAATCAGGTTCTCCCTGCTGAGGGGACTTGCTGTGCACCGAAGGGGACATCGTAAAGCTGCTTGTCCTCGCGACCAGCTCCCTCAAACCCTGCAAGTGGCCTGTGACCTTCATAGAGCCCAGAGGCACGTAAAAAGCCTAGGCAGTTGCAGATTATGCTGTTGTATAAATGGAAGGAGAGAGGTCAGTGGGGGAAGCCCCGTAAAGATTTCATCAGTGTCTTCCTGTGGGAGGCGACCTTCCGGCGTCAGTGACATCTGTAGCTGCAGTCCCTTTTTCTATATTGATTGCCTCGGTTCCTTTTCATTTTAAAGCGTAACAAGATATTTACTTTTTCTAAAGCCAGAATAATTCCCTCCAGCAAATCCCAGGTATGGGCTCAGGACTGGTCACTTAGGAGGGGCCGCATTTCTGGAGGGGCAGCACCCAGCTGTGGTCCCGAGGATCTCAAGGGTGGTCCCAGGGACCTGAGGCCCTCCGGGGGCTTGCCAGGCCCCCTCCCCCGATCTCCTTATAACAGAGCGACAGAGGCAGGGAAGAGAACCCACTGGCTCCCGGTAGCCCCGGGAAATTCCCAATTGTGGGTGTCACCACTCTGCTCAAACCTTCATGTTGCTGTTTTGGAAATCCTAGTTAAGTCCCATTAAAATTCTACAGACGTCCCTGGGATTGTGATTGTCATTTGTCGAGACTTGATTATTTTTTAAATAAATTCTTTTTTATTTATTTTTATTTTTTTAGCTGAGCCACCCTGTCACCTGTTGGCCTCTCAGCGGCAGCTCAGGTTGGGCCAGGCATCAAACTGGCAACGTTGTTGCTCAGAGCTCACACTCTTGAGCGAGTTCTTAACCAACTGAACCACTCAGCCGGCCCCTAAAATAAGTTCTTAACTAGCTAGTGTAAAATGTGCTGTTTCAGTCTCTGATGTATGCACCCCACATAAACAAAGGCGCTTTGGTGTCCTCACTAACTCTCCACCCAAAAGGCCCCACGGCCAGAACGCCAGGGCTGCTCGGGTCACCCTGAGCTGAGCTGGTGCATCTGTCGATGCTGACCGAGCAGGAGGGCGGAGCCTGAAGAAACGGGTCCCCTTGGGGCTGCCCTCCCCCTAAGTCTGACTTGCTTTCCAGAGCCAAGCTGGGGATGCCCCAGTTCCTCAGCATGGAGGCCCAGAGTTTGCTGAGAGCCCTCTTCAAGCGGAACCCCTGCAACCGGCTGGGTAAGAGCCCCTGGGCCCTGCACCTGCGGTGGTGGGGACACGCGGGCTGACTGCCCCCCTTCGAGGTCCCTGAAAGCAAAAGGCCCTGGGCGGGTGGAAACACTGCCACATAGTGTCCGAGCTCCGAGGACGCCCAAAACACACAGTCGCCACCCAAGCATTAGTGTAAGCGGTTTTCTAGAAGTCACTGTTTTTACACTTTTTTCATCCTATTTTACTTCCCTTACTTTTGGAACTGCACAAACCAAGGACGGAACAATTGAAAAGCTGCTTCTAGTTTAATCCCTCTTAAGGAATCTCAATATATATTGAAGTCGAGACTTACATGAATGGTAACTAAGTACTAATTCATTTTCAAAATAATTCCTTACAGAAAGTCTCCCATAGTTGCCTTTCAGTGGCCATGCTCCCACAGTGTGATTGGGTATTTAGAACTTCCACAAGAAACACATCTACTGAAATCTTTGTCCTCATGCCACTCTCTGTTGTTGTTGTGACAGGTGCCGGCATTGATGGCGTGGAGGAGATCAAGCGTCACCCTTTCTTTGTCACCATAGACTGGAACGTAAGTTGCCACCACAGACCCCACTGCACACGAATGGCAGGGAGGTGGGGTGGAGGGCACACCCGCCGCTCAGTACAAACCAGAGACAAACGTCAACTTGTCCCCTGGAAGGAGGCAAGCTCTCACGAGCCTTCTGCACCAGCTGGCATTTCACAGCTGCAGACCAGGAGCCACCACCACCCCCTGCCCACCAGTCTGGGCCTGGAATCTGTAAACATTCTTGGCCCATTAGAGGGGGGCTTCAGTGACCCTGCAGCGCCCGCACTGAGGACAGAGCAGAGATCGCCCTCAGCCAGCAAAGATCCCTGGGGTCTCGGAGGGGCGCTCGGAGAGGCTGCGCAGGCCTTTTTGGTGCTAGGGCCCCTGGGCGCCCCAGGGTCTGCCTTGCATTTCTGATCTCCAGCGGGACTCAGGCTCTCACAGCTCTCTTGTTGTTAAAGAAAAAATACGGTCCAGACTGTTAAAGTTATTCCTGACTCTTGTTAAAGGCATAAGGAAGACTATTCAAGGGGGGCGTTGAGATGGGTGTGAGGACCCCGACAGCACAGTCTTCAGTCGGGGAGAGAGATGGGGCTCAACGCTGATGAGCTTTTTATTGGATTGTCAGAAAGTCGTGATGCATTTTTGCTACGAAAAACAGAAAAAATACACCATGAGTTTTCCGACAACCTAATAGTTCTGCTTATAGCACTTTCATGAGATTAGACTTCTTTACAAAGGCAAGAGTAGA